AGTAGCTTTACAGTAGCGACGCTACTTTTAAAACAGTGTAGCTTTTCCTGTAGCTAACTACTTTTCCCAGCAAGTAGCAGTGTAGCGTGACCAAAAGCTACATTCCCTCTTGCGTTCTGACGAGTCACGAGCCTGTAATGCATTGAAGCAGCGCAGCGTCTTCTTCTGACTAGATCACAAACTAAATTTGTTCATTACCGCCATCTGTTGTGATATCACGCATCGCGCGGCTTTACAGTCTTTCCACCGACAAGAGATCGTCTGATGCTATTGCAAAGGATGTACAGGAGTGGATATTTCACATGAATTAACTGTAATTTACGCAAAACAAAAATGAAAATGCTGTCTACATCGAAGACCTAAAGCACATACAGGAGGGGAATAATAGACTTTTTTTTAAAACTGATTATTTTTTCTTCTTTATTGCACTCTAGATCAAATGTCTATTTAACAATGATGAACGGTCATAATATAATCTGTCCCCCCACAGTTTTGTAATGAACACTAATCGAACAGAAAATAAAATCGCGATATAGTAGTGTGCTTATCATTTGGCAAAGGATTGTTGCGGCGGGATTCACGCAAAGTGCAGTGTTCACGTGCGCAGCTGATGATTGACGTCTCCATTCACATCCAGTAAATACCGCATGAGCTGTGAGTTTAACCTGCTTATTTTATGACTTCTCCGTATCCAGTTTAAGTTGCATACATTTTGTTCTTACATTTGTGTTACGTTTGTAGCAATATAATAATATAACTAAAATAACTACAATATTTTATTATTGTGTGTATCGAATAGTTCAAAATCAAATGATTGGGACACGTTTTGTCATTGAAATGGCTTGGAAAAGTGTCCCAATCCACCTGAATTCACCCTACTCTTTGAAATCATGGTTGCATTACAGTATGTTGTTTTAAACCCCAAATATTGTACTTATAACTTCATTATATTTTACTTACACTTCATCATAATTCTTAATTAATAATTATTTAGTTATCTGTAATGTTAATTGTAAAAAAGAAAAAGAATAATAATAAAAAATTTGAAAGTAGTTTCAATGTAGCTAGCTACTTTTTGACAGTAACTTGTAGTGTAGCTAACTACTATTTCAAAAGGGTAGCTTGAATGTAGCTTAACTACTTTAATTTATGAGTAGCTTGTAGCTGGTCAAGCTACAGTTTCAGAGTAGCTTCCCCAACACTGATATTTTCACTGGAGGAATCATTATTATGGACATTTTTGGCAAGAGGAAATGGTTTAAAATGATAACTCCTTAATACTGAATTTGCTTCTTATAAACATGCAGCTTTTCACTTTACAAGACATTAATTTATAGACTGGAGTTGTATGGATTATTGTAATGTTTTTATCAGCCGTTTGGACTCTCATTCTGACGGCACCCATTCACTGCAGAGGATCCATTGGAGAGCAAGTGATGTAATGCTAAGTTTCTCCAAATCTGTTCTGATGAAAAAAACTAAATCATCTACATTTTGGATGGCATGAGGGCGAGTACATTTTCAGCAAATTTTCATATTTGGAATTATGCTACATCTACACACCCACCTGCTGGCGATCATAACCCCACTCTTCATTCTCAGAGGCAAGCACCAACGCTCTTGCATCTGCATCCCGTCGGATTCCACTCCACACGTACCTCCACGCCCTGCTGTTTCTGCTCCGCCTTGACATGCCAACCAGGAGCCTTCACACCTGTCAATCACAGAAAGAACAGTTGCTTGTTATAAAGCATGAACAGAGAGAACAGGCAGTCATACTGAAACACACTGCAAACACATTGTCAAGTCAAATTTATTTGTACAGCGCTTTTCACAATACACATTGTTTCAAAGCAGCTTACAGAAATATGATAAAACAGACAGACATAAGATAACTCTGTTACTTCAGAGATCTTCCAGTAATAAATAACCATAAAAAATGACGTTTAAGGAACTGTGTGTTATATATAGAGTACCAAAATATTAGTTTGTCAGAAGCCATAAACTTTTTGTGTCCCTACCACATGTGTTCCCCATTAAAGCTTCAAATAATTTATAAAATGACAAATTGATTATTTTATGCGCGTTTTATTGTAATCCCGTTGCGCGTGAGGTGCGCTCGTGAAGGTAAGCTTCCACTGCAGTATTTCTCGCGCGAGATGTAAACACTAGCTGGCAACATGCTCAGTTTAATTGCCAGTGACATATGCATTTAGTCATTTCATTCCGGAAAATAACATAACATGTTCTCTTTGCTAGGCCTCGCAGAAATTGGTCAGCAAGAGCGAGGTAACGTTACCTTGCAAGTCTGTAGAAACGAAGGCTTATTCGCTTATAGGAGAACAGATCGCCTGCAATCATGCTAATACTACCGAATACTATTTGGATGTCAATATTATCCCAGCCCGTATAATAATAATTTGAAGACAGGCTTCAACATATATAACGTACATGATCTTGGCGCAAACAGAGGATCGCGGACTTAGCATGAGCTACATCCTGCCTGCTGCATTGACTAGGATAAGCACAAGCTAACTTACCTGTCTTTCAGGGATACCACTGCGATCGTTGGAGTCTCGTATACCTAAATATGTTAGTATGACACTGTAATGTATGTATCTGTAAAAGCAATCGGATTCTGTCCACCAGCTAACTGTCACTCTCTCCTGTGACCTACTTTCACGACAGACGTAAACAATGCATTAACATGTCCCGCCTCTTCAGTCCAAACTCCATTGGTCAAAAATTCAGAGTAGGCGGGGTTTATTTTCTAGCTCGCGTAACTACAGGTCTAAACGGCTGTCACTTAAATGTCAAACTCGTCCCAAGACTGAAGGCTAAACCCCTTCACGTTCACGCTTCCCCCATCCAGGCAAGTGCAGCGACAGTACTTGACAGGCAGATGTTAATTTGTCATTATTAATTATTAACTAGATTACTTGTCTGTTTCAGTTAGACAAACGTACAACTGTTTGCTGTATTCTTCATGTTCAGGTATAGTAATCTTCAACCGAACAGTTTAACAGACTATTTCAGAATATTCTGCTACGTTTCAGAACAATGTTATCTTCAACAGTCTGTCAATTTTGTTCATGCTTATAAAAGTTAGACCCTAATTTTGTTCATAAATCTTGATTAGGTATTTTGTTGACGTAATACACACCTGTCATGCCTGTCCGGGTTTATCTTACAAGCAAAAGAAAGAAATAATAGTTTATTTATTTGTTTTCTTTATTTGTTTGTTTGTATTAAGAAAATGAAATCTATTTTTGGACCATCAAGCTTCTAGTCTTTTTCTGATTATTATTTGTATATGACCATTTTCTCAAAAGGAAAGTACAAAAAAAAGATTTATATCTGTATAGACAAAACAAATAATGGAAATTATATAAAATAAAAAGTATGTAATGTAAAAATGTAAAATAAAAAATACAAATTCCGTGCCCATAACGAGACTGTTTTGTGCTTAATTGTCATTAAAATGTCACTGTGCAAAAATTATTCTAAAATAGACCTTATAGTGTGTGTGTGTGTGTGTGTGTGTGTGTGTGTGTGTATATAAGCAAAAATCTCGTTTTGTTTCTCAGACCTTAGACTTTATAGAATAAAATACCTTATAGAAATATTTTAAGCAAAATATTTCTCGTTTTGTTTGTTTCTTGTAAAACTTTCTTGACAGGCTTTGTGACATTCACTCCTAATCACAGAAGGCTATGAAGTTTTACTGTTAAAATCATATTTCTTCATTTGTACAAAGAATTAGATAGAAATGGTCTTTCCCTATTGCTTATGTGTAATATAACTAGTACTGTCACGTTTTATTGTAGAGATGGGACAGTTACACGGCTTCTGGCGATGATGTGCGGTAAGAGGTCTGGAAAATGAAGCAGTGCAGCTCTATAGCGCCCCCTTTGCCCCTGTGGATCCGTGATGAAGTTTGGTTGAGGCTGCAATGCAGTGATTCAGACAACCAGATGGCAACCTGTGAATTTATCCCTCATGTCCCTCAGTCTATTCGACTCTCATGATTATTAAATATATGGTTGCAGTTTCTGAATATATGTTAATGAAACACTCCTCAGATGTCATCTGTTCACCAGTGATAGATGAATTATCATACTTGGAATTCATAATAGGTTGTCATTTATGAACAGGGTTCCCACTCTTTCATGAACACCAGATTCAAGGACTTTCAAGGACTTTTTCAAGCACCATTTATTTTATATCAAGCACCTATCAAATTCACACCCCAGCATATGTAGTGTCATGAAAGACCTTACAGTACTTAACATTTCACTTACACTTAACATGTACATTAAAAATTTCAGAGTAATAATGTTTTGAATGTGTAGGTTTCATAAATTTAGACCGTTTTGAGCAGTCGTGTTCAAAGGAATTTAATGAAATCCATTGAAGTCAGTACTGGTAATATTCAAATTAAATTTCTAAAATATTGATAAAATATGCATCAAACTGATTTTTGCTGTAGTTCTTGTACAAGATTTAAATTTGAAAGAATTTCTCAATTTTTAAATTAATAAAAAGTGCTTAAATGTTGTAATAACATGGTAAAACCT